AAAAAAAAAAAATATAATAAGAAAACGAATTTATAACTCCAATTTTAAAAATGTTATAACATATTCTTCTATTTTAGCAAGTGTTAAACATAGACAACTTCTTTATCATAAAATATATATATATACAATTTATCACCCTGCTCTTCAAAAATCCAAACCATCCCACCCTTTTGGCAGGGCAACCCAAGGGTCAAGGCCCATTTTGCCATGTCTACCTAGGATTTCATTAGAAATTGATCATATGATAATCCAAATCACCGTTGTGCCTATGAAAAGTTAAAGAACTCCTGCTCCTTTTTATTTTCCAGAAAGCCGACTCTAGGTATTAAATTCTCAACCTCGACAGAAGGAAAATATCACCAAGAGCAGAAGTTTTATCCGTAATTCCCATGCATAGATATTCAAAAGCATTATTGGTAAATGGCAAATCATGAACAATACTTTATCTATCCTATTAATAAGAGCAACGTGTCATGGTTAAAAATAAAGCAGGCAGGAATGGAACATAAAGATAAAAGACTTAAAATAGAATGATGAAAATTAAGGAAATTGACAATTATCATCATGCTTCAAGAAGAACAAGCTGAACATACCAGTTCTTTCACTGCAACAAACTGCTCTTCTGTCAACACACAGGTCCATCCCTATAGTGTACACGGGAATAGAGTCAAGAGTTGTACCACAAAATTAGACATAACCGGGTTTGTTGAGAAAGAAAATACCGAATGAATGTGCTCTCCTATACATTCAACAAATCCACTGCCTCCAATTCCCTCAGCATCAGACTCAATCAAAGCTGGTAAAGATACAACAGATGCCCCCAATGCATCAATATTAACGGAAACAAGGGTGGTACAACTAATGCCATTCAGAGAAAAAGAAAGTCCAGGCATAAAAGCATACCAAGAATGGTTCCGTACTCAAATGATGAAAGAGGATCATCAGTTGTCCCCAACTTCAAAAGTCGTAGCCATAATCCCTGTTCAAAAAATCCCAAACACCTCATATACTCAGTAAGATCTTTTATTACAGTATCAGACAATCATAACAAATTACTTTTTTCATGGAAAACATTTTCTTTCAAAGCTGAATATATTGGCACCTAATGTATGATGAAACCACACATTTTATCACGCAACAGCTCTGGCTGAATTAGAGATAGAAGAACAATAATGAACCCCGTATATACTATATAACAAGTGAAATACCATAATCTTCCAAGAACCTTCCAACAAAAAGTGTGCCGCAACAACACATTTGAAATCAAGAACACAAAAATTATATTGCCATAAAATCAGCTCCATGAATTCAATAAGCCCTGAAGGTGAAGTTATTTGAGTAGTTATAAATTGAAACCGGACTTCAGCAAAGCTGGAAGACATTACTCATTAGCAACAGTACTCTATAGACAGCCTTGATAATGATAAGGATACTCATGCCATATGCAGGCTGTTCTTAGTAAAAAAGATATCAAATATTATAAAATAAAATTATGAGATCGAAGAAAAAAAAACAACCAAAAAACTAACGGACATTAATCTAGTCAAAGAGAGGAACACAATCAAATTTATTCCAGGTTCATAGGATGTATTGAAATAAACATAAAATTCCGGCCAAGGAAGAAGGAACCAAAAATGACCCAAAAGGACCTAACAAGATAATCAAATATCTATATTGAAGGCTTCGCCAGATGGGATACCAAATTGACGAAGAACACACTTTACAAATTACAAGAAACGGTCCATCAGTGGAAACATTACCCAGTGGAGTTTTCAATCAAAACCAAGACATAAGGATCTAAAGGCAAATATATCCAACCCAGATGAGGACGAAAGAGCTGAAAGTAAGGAGAGAAAAAAACACATCGCACCTGCAACTTCACTTTAATGTCCAGAACCATGCGCTCCCGTTCGGCCTGCAGAAAATACACTCATAAATCTAATGAAATTAAGAAGTTAGTATTCCAGATCAGATAACCTAAAATCGTAAGATACTTACAGCCCTCTCCCTTGGGCTCAGGCTTTCAGTCTTCGAATCTCTACCGACACGCACTGAAGGAGAACTGTTTAAATAAAAGAGAAAAACAAAATTCTCACTGTACGGACAAACAAATTAGTCTAACAAGAGGTAAGATGGTCGGCAAGGGAGGGATTGACTAGTCGTCAAGCCCGAACGCTTCAGTTACTGAGTAATATACCTCACAGTGTGCTTTCCAGAATATTCTAGGGCCCCACTGGCTGCTGCTAAAATCTGCTTCCGCTTTTCTTCCTGCTCCTCCGTTCTAATATTTGCAGGAAATCTGTCATAACTATATTTAGCTCCTGATCCCACAGTTTAAAACACAAAAGGCATTAGTACCATATCCAGCTCATAGTGTCTCAAGGACCTTTCAACACTGCACACATCTAGCAGCATCCAGTTCAAAAGATATTTTATATTACCTGACCCTCCCAATCCAGGATCAGAGATGGTTACAATATCAGGCTCTATCAAAAGTGAAGGAAGAATTGAAAAAGGATTTTGGCCCCGGCCAATAGCATCTTGTAACTTATCAAGAAGATTGTGTCCATTTTCTTCAGAGCCGAGACCTCTCTCTAAATAATCTAGGAAGCCTTGGGAATCTAAAAACTGGCTTATCTGTTAAGGTTGCACATCAAGTAAAACATAAGAAATCACATATGTTAAAATGAAAAGAAAATTGGCAGATAATGTATTTTAACTGGCAGAAAATACTAGAAATCAATTACTAGCCCATGTTAACAAACTGAATTGCTCACCATAGGATCTGGAGGCTGATTTGTCGACCGAGACCGCTTCTTTAAAAAAGCCTGGCTGTTGAATATATGAGTTGCTGTGTTTTCCTGACAAATGACAAAACAATTGCTACTTTCACCTAGAATAATGATGGTTGAACTAGCTAGATGAGTAAGGTCAAAGCTTCATACTATGAAATTGCGATAGCCAGCTAAAATTGAAGCAAAGAATTTTAGGAATATAAACCTGCAAAGATCAAGAAATACTCAACGAATAAGATAAAAGACATTTATAACATAAATTTAGTCACGATAACCAGTTAAAACCATGGAAAATAATTTTAGGAATATAAAACCATGCTTGAGATATGAAATTAAGCCACTCCACTATAACAGGTTTTTTATAATATAAAAACCAAGGAAGAATCAAATCATAACAGCATGCATCTCAATATTTGGCCTGTAACACCGCAGAACCACTTGCCGGATGGAACGAAAACCATCAAACATCAGGGTACTCATAGCCGTTGGGTGGCAAGACCCGCAAGTTTAACTTGCCCAAGTGTATCTGGGGTTTCCGAAAACTCGGAACAAGATTCACCTAGGTCCTAACCAAATATCTGTTTTAAGACAAGATTTTTAACCATAATTGATATTAGCGTGAAAGGAACAGCTTAAAAAATCAAAGATAAAGCTAATCGCCAAGGCTTGGATTATATTCAACCCTGGAATTGACAAATTTAATAAATAAAACAAGCTGTAAAAAGAGGAGAAGATTGCATATATACTTGTTGTAACAAGACCAATATAATTTTAAGCAGATCACCAACATTCACCTAAGCTGGAGATCATGATCCTCTCCCCATGGCCTACAGCCACCTCTAGGGCCTTGTTCAGAGAAAGACCCAACCTTCATCTGATCGATGCCAACGACGTTTGGATGTAACAGCTTCAATATCTCACCGCGCAACAAACTATACTCTGGCTCAGGTATGGGAGGAATTTCCTCAGATGTGGTGATGAGATTACGCTCAAGGTCAACCACAACCACCTGAAATTCACGGAGAAGACAACGAAGTTTACATGAAATGTTTCACATAATGAGCAGACACTAGAATCAACTGAAGAGCATGTAACTAAAGAGCCTAAGGAGAAGTGCCAACTTATGTTAACTGACTAGTGTCAATTATGCATTGCATAGAACATGCATGAGTTAAGACAAGTCAATATCATAGCAATAATGAATCACGGCTTCGTAAAATGGCACAAACCAATGAAAGTTAATTAAATAACTTTTAAGCAGTGGGGGAATCGGTAATCTTTTTGTCTCGCATCTTTCTGACTGTTACTTTATAAATGTCATTTGCATGTGCAATACTTATCACCAACTTATAACGGGGAATTGCAAAACTACAATTACTTTTTGACTCAAGCCTATGAGACTAATGTTCTTGAATGCTTTTGTTTGCTTAACACTTATTCAATGTCCTTTTCCATGTTTGCAGCAGTTTCAACAAAACAACGCCAAAAACAAAAAAAAAAAATATGGAGATGCATCGTCAATAAGTTCATACCTACATCTACAACCGTCAAGCGAGCTAAAATTTTCCCCCGATCATTTTTAATTAATCCGTTCACATAAAATGTCTCTTACTCAACTATTAGATTATATATTGCAATGCGCCTCTTCACAAAAATTATGCAGGAAAATGAACATGAGTGAGCAAAAGAACAATAAAGGTCAATGAATAGGAGAAAGCAATAGATTGTGGCATATGTATCCGATCCTTGTAAATTAAGGAACTTACGCCATCCATCATCAAACCAAAGGTATCAACACCTGAATGAAGACCCATCATGTATGGTGTGGGGGCATCAATATAGTCAACTCCACTGAAAAATAGCAACGGAATGTAGACATGCTTCAGAACAGCAAACATGAAATGGTTAGAAAGCAAACATTTGAAAATATTTCAAGGATGATACACTATTAAAAAGAATCAAACTATGTATCTCATTAGTGCAAGTAACATTTGAAAGCCAAGCCAAAAAGAAAGTCATACCTGCCATCGAAATGGATATATTAAGTGGCATATGGCCTCCGATACAAGAGTTAAAAGAGAATATCTGCAGACATGTACATAGAAGTGAAGCAAGGAAATAAAATCAAAGTAAGGTTACAGACACATGTACTGAGGTTTTCCCACCTAAAGAACAAGTAATTAATAGTAAAAACATGGTTCCTGAACTTCCATTGTGATAGCTACTTGTCTGTAACTAATTAAGAACCAAAAGATTTTATACATTGAAGAAAAAGGTTACAACTATAATTGGTAAGTTACAAAGTCGAAGACCAAGAAACACATAATAGTCAAAGAGCTAAACTCAAATATATAAGCCAATCAAAGGAAAAGAAACTTATAAACGTAGAACAATAATGCAAGTGTCAACTTTATTCTATCCCAAACATCTTAAACTCTTCATCATCAGAAATCCTCTTATTCCTCTCCCGCGAAATCGACACCACATCACTAGGGACAACCATTGCCAATCTCCATAACCCCCAATCACTAGATAAACATACCCAAAGAATTTGGATGGACAATTATAGTAAACACCGTAGCAATACGACAATGTACCTACTTTTATTCACATAATAAATAATCCCAATATGAATATTTTGTGGCGTCCAGGATGGATTAAATGGCAGCCTAGGCCACTTGTAATTAACAGTCAACTCATACAGTTCAACTCATACAGTTCAGATAGAAAAGAGAGCATTATATTATATAGGGACAATGCTTTATCTACTTATTCATCGTGGAAAACTGAAAATATGCATATATTCATTAATGTAAATTGGCACTTTTAAAATTAAGCAGCACCATTAATTTAAAATATGAACCAAGATAATTGCATAATGTTCACTCACACGCAGTGCCTGACGAGACACAAGCATAGATAGAATATCACTACAGGCAAAACTACAAGGAAACAAGAAAGCTGTAGAATGTTCATGAAATATTGCATAATTTAAGATTAGCAAGATCTAAGAGTAAAGTAAGAAAGACAACTTTCGTTCTTTTCGTTTTCGGGTATAATATATTTAATGTCAATGTAGGGAAAACTAGTCGTTCTGAACAATAAACAGTAACAGCAAGAAAGGAACATACCCACATTTAGAATTGTACCGGGATGACGAAAACCAAGAATTACTGTAAATTATTAATATGATCCTCACAAACTTGAGTGCAAAAAAGCGTACTTGTCAGAGCGGAGCAAAATCCTCCTCTCCAGCACCACAGCTGTAAATAGTTTGATGAAATTATCAACATCCAAGCACTGGACCAGAGGCTGGAAGGATATCTGTCCAAAAAGAAATAGAGATCACTATCAACTGAAATTAATTGACACCAACGCACATAAAAATCAACAATAAAGCTTCATAAGTAGTAACATACGTCAGCATGAGGAAGACCATCTTTTGGCGGGACCTCTACAGCAAGCAAGCTATTTTCAATGGCAAACAGCACTCGGTCCTTTCCAGGGGTTGGTAAAGGTACATTGGACACTAAATATGCTATGACATCCCAGAGCGGCTTGCTGAATAAAATCAAGACAAGAACACAATAATTAACATAAGCATCGAACAGGGGTCCATATATGCAAGTAATGTTGCAAAGTCATCGGGTGCTCTCTAGCTATGCTTTCTTCTAATCATCAGAATGTCGCCAAGTATGGCACCAACGGTGCCTTTCCTTCTACTATCAGTTATATAAAAAGCATAACGGGTTAGGGATGACACCATTTTGAGAAGAAAAAAAAAAATCATCATCTAAAACAGGAAATGAAATGGTTCAGGGCAACACGCACGCACACACGCGTAAACCTGCTTCCAGACTGTGAAAAGCAAAGCAGGAATATTTCTTCCAAGGCATCACGCAGAATGCCGAAACTGGGAGCACGCGAGACGAGACAAATGCATTTATCAGCAAATGAATTGGCTGCTATACGATAAGCCTCGGCTATGTCCTCACAAACGGGATCTCGGAACGCAATGCAGCTGACATAAATCTTCGATCCATCACCTTCGGTCAAGACGATCGGATAGCTCCGGGGAAAGGACAACGGGTCGGCGGAATCAAATCCCGATGAGTAGAACTGGACGCCGGCCGGCAAAACGCAGGTGGGGAGTTGAGGCGGGGGAGGAGGATAGAGCGAGTGATTTGGAGGAGGGTATTGATCTAATAGAGATGGCAAGTACATGATGCCTGCGCCATGGTAGCCCCTGTTCCCGTCCAACGTGCGGATTTCAGGTCCGATCCCGCACACCACGAAGTACTCAAAGAGCGGCGCCATTACAATTCAAAACCCGGATTACTGTTTCAGATCCGGCGGCAAGAGGCTGGCTGCTGAACACATCTTGATCCCCGATTTGAAGTTTCGTTCAAAGATGGTGGTGGATGAGAGGTTTTAGAGAAAGGAGTTACCATGATGGTTTATGGATTCAACTAGTTTTTATTTGGTTTGTTTTTTAATTATAGTTACTTTTGAAAAAAAAAAGGTGGTATGGTTAGTTGTTAGTGAATATATTAGAATAATATTTAAATATAATAATTAAAGTTGATTTGATGTAAAGTAGGAGAAAAATGATTGGAAGTAATGGTTAGTTAAAAGGCCTAATTGTCGGTAAAAGCACGACCTTACAACTTTTTGTCGTTTTAACCAAACTTTTGCGATTTAGCAAAAATAACTTAACCTTGTCCCGTTTTTGCAACCCGAACCCAAATTCAGACGGCCGTTCATTTTAGCCAGCATGTCTGTTAAGCTCTACCTACGTGGACTAGCTTGCTTCTCAGTGTTGTGACGTGGTAAAAGCATTATAAAACACGCATTTTCCCCCAAATCAAGAAAACCTAATTTCCATTTTCAGACTTAGAATTTTTTTTTCACTCTTTGAAAACGCTGTGGTCCCATTCTCGTCGAAGCTCACAATCTTGTTGTCGAAGCTCACAAATTGCGGTCCCATTGAAACGACTATGACCGACAGGTATGTCAATCCGTCATTTTTTTATTTTTGTTGTCAAAATTCTAAAAATCGTCGGTCGATTCGAACTTAGGGATCTGGAAACATTTTATTGTTTGTGATTTTTTAATTCAGTGTTAATTACATATTAAGTAGTGATCGATTTGTTAAATATTATTGTAGATTTTGACCTAGGGCTTCGAAAGATTTTAAATATGTTTATGAATTTAGGGTTCCTCTTCAAATTAGGGTTTTATTTTGAAATTAGGGTTTCGAACAATTTCAAATTGCTTACATTTTATTTATTGTACATTCATTGTGAAATTAGGGTTTCGAACAATTTCGAAATGTTTACAGTTTTTTTGTTATTGTAAATCTATTTTGACATTAGAGTTATGATAGAATCAAGGTTATGATTGGATTATTGAGTCTGGTGCTTTTTTCTATGTTTAATTAATTGCAGAGACAAATTTGCATTGGTTGTCAATTTTGGAGGTTATTTTGTGAAATGTGGACCTATTGTGGAGTATCTAACTGGTACTTTGAAGAGTATTTATGGGTTAGATGCAGATAGGTTTGGCTACTTTGACCTACAAGAAGAACTTCAGAAGTTGGGAGTTAAGAAGTATGAAAAAATTGTGTATAGAATACCTGATGCTGGTCTTGGAGCTGATAGTTTGATAGATGTAACTGATGACAAAAGGGTTATGGAGATTATTAGTTGTGGTAAAAATAACAGAACTGTAATTCAGATTTATGTGGTTGGTGGTGACATAATTGATGATGAAGCAGATGAGAATGCTGAGGCTAGGGAAGAGGTGAATGGTTTGAGTCAGACACAATCTGATAGCCAGCAAGATGAAGATGATGGAGAAGAAGTGAATGGTTTGAATCAGACAAAATTTGATGGCCAGCGAGGTGAAGATCATATGGAAGAGGTGAATGGTTTGAGTCAGGCTGAGGCATCAATTCAGAATGAGCCTGCAGACCAGTTGGAAGATATTAATGATATTATAGACAATTACACTTCTGTTGAACATGGTGAAGCTGATGCAGAAACTAATAGTGCATGTGTTGGGTTGGGGTCACAAGAGTAATCTGAGGATGAAGATTATTTTCCAAATGGGGTGAGTTCATCAGATGATGACCTGTCTGATGATCTTATTTCTAATGATGATGAATATGTTCAGGCAAGAAAGAACTTGAAGGAGTCTAAGAAGAAAGTTCAAGATTGTGATGATGATGCAGGCCATACACATCCAATGGCCACAACTGGGATGGACTTTGAAGAGGATGAATTGTTACATAATGCACTAATCTCTGATGAGTCAGATAGTGACAAAGAAATGGATTTGGAAGGGAATTTTGTTAAAAGGAGGACAAGGTTATTGTATGATCCCAAGTGTGATCATAATGCACTTGACTTTCAGCTTGGCATGAGGTTTGAAAGCATTGAACAGTGCAAGAAAGCTGTGAGAAGGGTGGAAATTGTGCAAGGTAGAGATATTCAGAATATAAGGTGTAACAGGAGACAATTAGAAGTTAGATGTCAATATGGCTGCCCTTGGAGACTTTATGCCAGTGTGATTGAAAAAGAAGGTAGTGTAGCTATAAAATAACTGCATAAAGAGCATGTATGTCATAGGAATGTGCACACTAGACAACTAACTGCTCAGTGGATTGCTGAAGAGTTTGGTGAAAAATTCAGAAGGAATCCAAACATGACAGTTGCACAATTGGAAGAGGCAATTTCTAAAAAGTTTGCAGTTGTACCTACAAAGTGGAAGCTTTATAGAGCCAAGTGGAAATCACTTGAAATGCTCAGAGGTTCTGTCATAGAACATTACTCATTTTTTAGGAGTTATATGGCTGAGTTGATTAGGGTTGATAGAGAGGGAAAGTTTGAGTTCTTACTTGGGGAAAATACCACACTCATAGGCTTTTATGTGGGTTTTAGTGCTCTAAGAAAGGGATTCATCAATGGCTGCAGACCAATCCTTGGATTTGATGGATGCTTTTTGAAAACTTTCTTAGGAGGAGCCTTGTTATGTGCCACTGCCAAAGATGGTAACAATCAAATTTATCCAGTGGCTTGGGCTGTGGTTGAGGCTGAAAATGAAGAGTGTTGGAAGTGGTTTCTCTCTATTTTGTTTGCAGAACTGGGTATAAGGGATGGATTAGGATATACTTTCATTTCAGACCAACAAAAGGTGACTATTCTGTGCAATTTTGTTAGTTTTTGTTCTTAATTTCAAACAATACCATGTTCTAAATTATTTTTTCTTTGTAGGGTTTGTTGAATGCTCTGAGTGACTTGGTCCCAAATGTTGAGCACAGAAATTGTGCTCGACATGTTTACATGAACTGGAAGAAGGGATTCAAGGGCCAAACTTTGAAAAATTTGTTCTGAAGAATTGTTCTAAGCACTCACTTGGGAGACTACAACATTGCTTTGGAGGACTTGAAGGCAGAATGCAAAGCAGCTTATGAGGACTTTATTGATAGAGATCCTTCAAAGTTTTGTAAGGCGTTTGTCTCTCCTCTTCCTAGGTGTGATATGATTGAAAATAATGTTAGTGAGACTTTCAATGGGTTTATAGTTAGGGGAAGAGGATATCACATCATTGAGATGCTTGAATTTGTAAGGACTGAACTAATGAATAGACAACATGGGAAATTTATGGAGTTGAGTGGACATCCTGACAAGCTTTGTCCTAGAATTAGATCAAAGGTAGAACAGAATAAATATTTGTCAAGAGTCTGTGTCACAAAGCCTGCAGTTGGTGATAGGTTTCAGGTTGCTTTACAAGATGATCAGTTTGTGGTGGATTTGAGGAATAATACCTGCACTTGTAGACAGTGGGATATAACAGGAATACCTTGTGTGCATGCTTGCTCAGCAATACACTTTCAGCATAAAGATCCAGCAGACTTTGTGTCTGAGTATTTCTATACTGAGAGGTACTTGAGTATGTATAGCATTTCATTAGAACCCATAAATGGCAAAAAGATGTGGCCAACTGCACAAGGTTATCCAATCTTACCCCCTCCAATCAAGAAGATGCCAGGAAGACCTAAGAAAAAAAGAAGAAGGGCTCCTGAGGAAGAAGCCACAAGTGGAAGCAAGTTGAGAAGGTTTGGGTTGATTATGACATGTCATAGGTGTTTGCAAAAGGGGCATAACAAGAAATCATGCACACTGCCTCAAGTTGAGAAAGCTGCTAAGGTTTACATTTCAATTAATTCATAGTACTATGTTTTCTTATTTTTTTTTCTTTACATTCTTTAATCATTGTAATTTTCTATGTACAGAGACCAAAGGGAAGGCCCAGAAAGCATATTGCACCCCACACTGTGCATACTAGACAACCACCACAAAATGTGCACACTAGACAACTACCCCAAACTGTTGTTCAACCACCCCAACCTGAGGTTCAACAACCCCAAACAGAAGTTCAACCACCCCATACTGAGGTTCAACCACCCCACACTGAGGTTCAACCACCCCACACTGAGGTTCAACCAAACATGGTGAACATTACAAGCCCAACAGTTGAGACAATGACAGGCCCACCTTTTGAGAACATGACAAGCACACAAACTGGTTCTGTGGAGAAGATAAATAAAATGTCTGTTAGGAGGTGCAGTCCTCGGTCATCAGTCATACAAAAAGAAAGAGCCTTGGTAATACTTTTGTATGGTTAATTTCTGAATTTGGTACCAATCATTATGAGTAACAATTATTTTGTTCATTTGTTTGGCAGGCAAGGAAAGGTTTTGGTATATTACAATCTGAGGAAACTGGTAATGTCTAGATGAAGGTATGGTTCTTTTAAAGGAATTTACTATTTCTGAAATACAATAAATTTGACTAACATATGGGGTAATTATTGGATATTATAATGCAGTTGTCATCTGCAAAAAAGATTCATGTGATTTCAACCACTGCTAGAGAAACAGGCCAAAGCAGTGGCTCAACTAGAGGGCAAAACGGTGGGTCAAGCACAGGTAGAGGAAGAGGGCAGAGGACAGGGTCAACCACTGGTAGAGGAAGAGGGCAGAGGACTGGGGCAACCACTGCTAGAAGAACAGGGCAGAAGAGTGGGTCAACCACTGCTAGAGGAAGAGGCCAAAGTAGTGGGTCAACTGGGAGAGGTAGCAAAGCAGGTGACTTCATATGCACTCAAGAGAGTGGGGCTGGAAATTAAACTGTTGGTTTTGTGAGGCTGGAAATTAATATGTAGGATTGTTGGATTTGTGTGGTGGAGACTCAGTAGTTTGAACTAATCTTAGTGATGCTCTTTTGAGTTTTGATTTGGATGTGTTATGGGATATTTATGTGTGTTGTTATGTGTGAATGACTTCAATGAATTGTGCTGTTATTTTGGAAATGAATGTGTTCTGTTTATTTATGCTGAAAGGGAGTGTTCTTTCAAGTTTTTGTGGGATCTTGTTTTAGAATGTCTTCATGTGATATTGTGCTTGCCAATTGTGATTTGACACAATAATAGTGTAACTACAAGGATTCTAATCTAATGAATAAGATAGTTTAACTGATAAGATATTTCTTGTAATAATGTTCCATTAATGCAAAAGTTTTTCAACCAAACACAATCAAAACCATTAGTTCATTACATATATCAACCAAATGGACATGACCATCACAACATCAAAACATCAACACAAAAACAGTTCACCTTCAGCTAATGGACATGACCATGACCATTTCTACCAAACACAATCACAATAAGAACCAAAAGAATAACAATCAAACAAATCATCACTACACAAATTTTCCTTTCAAGGTTTTTTACTTCAATTAAGGTCTTCTCAAGAACCAAAATGACTTCAGCATTCTTGTGACCTTCTACCTCAAGCCCTGTCACTTTTTTTTCAAGCTCCTCAAGCCAAGTCGAGCTTACTTCTTTCACAACCGACCTGTCATTGTGTTGTTTTTCCATGGTCACCTTGTCCCGTAACTTTTCTTCTAAAGCCTCTTTTTGAGACTTCAATTTGATAAAACATTTCTTTTGGAACTCTGGCAATGAGGGATCAATCCATTCAAAGAAACCACAATCATCTATCTCCTACTTATCAAAAAAACCTTCATATAAAATATTTCTTTCTTCTAAACAAAATTGCATAAAAATTGCAGAACAAAATACAGTAATAGCTTACATTTCTTGTTGGACACCTGTAGAACCTCCGACATGGATTGTCGTTTGTCATTGAGGTCAAAACAACGGCCTCTTCCAAATGGCGGCACTGCTTCCGCACTGGGATATTGGATGAAGCGCTATGTTGCGAATTTTGGCTTGTACGAGACGAGTACGACATTTTCAGAGGATGAAGCTGCGAAAATTAGGGCAAAATTTGGGGAAGAACACGGTGGACAATGAAGCTGCGAATGATTAGGGTTTATCGCGGAAGAACACGATCGACAATGAAGCTGCGAAAATTAGGGTTTATCGCGGAAGAACACGATCGACAATTTGGGGAAGAACACGATCGACAATAAGATCGAAAATTAGGGTTTATCGCGAAAGAACACGATCGACAATTTGGAGAACACGATCGACAATAAGATTGAAAATTAGGGTTTATCGCGGACGATTTTGGAATTTCGACAACAAAAATAAAAAAAATGACGGATTGACATACCTGTCGGTCATAGTCATTTCAATGGGACCACAATTTGTGAGCTTCGACAACAAGATTGTGAGCTTCGACGAGAATGGGACCACAGCGAAAAAAAATGCGTGTTCTTGATTTGGGGGAAAAAAAATTAGGTTTTCTTGATTTGGGGGAAAATGCGTGTTTTATAATGCCTTTACCACGTCACAACACTGAGAAGCAAGCTAGTCCACGTAGGTAGAGCTTAACGGACACGCTGCAAAAATGAAACGGCCGTCTGAATTTGGGTTTGGGTTGCAAAAACGGGACAAGGTTAGGTTATTTTTGCTAAATCGCAAAAGTTTGGTTAAAACGGCAAAAAGTTGTAAGGTCGTGCTTTTACCGACAATTAGGCCTAGTTAAAATTATGTGAGTGGATGAATAGTGAATTAAAATTGATGTGATGTGTAAAAATGATTGGTTGATATTATTTAATTATATTGATAATATAGGAGATAGTGGGGTTGGGTTAAAGTTGAGTTAAATTTTAGTTTTGATTGGCTTTTTCACTGTACAAATCATAAACAATCACCCCCTAGACATATTGTTAGGGCTGGTATCGGTAACCGAACCGATAACATGAAACCGATACCGAACCGAACATTATCAGTTTCACTACTTTGCAAACCGAAACCGAACCGATAAACATTCGGTAACCGAAAAATCGGTTGCCGATAAAACGGTTCGGTTTCGGTATAAACCGATAAAAACCGAAAAAACCGAAAAAAAAAACAGCAGCAGCATGCAAAATACCTGTGCAAAATGAATATAAGCAGAGCCTTCTACTTAGTACTAATTATAAACATGCAGTATAATTCCAATAAAAGGTTGGTCCATCATCAAAACTGAATCACAGCACATTAATCATTTTTTCACAAACTAAAAGTCTAAAACAAGTCACAGGCAAAGAAAGTTGGCAAAAGATAAAGTGAGCACTTGAAGTCTTGAACAACAGAGACAGAAAATAAAGTAGGCAGATCATAAGTTCATAAGGTAACAAGCTCAACAATAGTTCCAAACTTCCAACTTCTAAATCCAATTCACAACACAACAAACCATATCCAAAATCCAAATCACAACACAGTGTGAATTCCAATAACAGATCAAGTCACAACTCACAACATATCCGAATTATCACCAATAAAATAGCTCAAACTCAAAGCATTCATCCACTACTCATCTACTCCTGCATAAGAAAAAAAAAATGCACTAAGATAATAAAAATTATTATTATTATTATTATTATTATTATTATTATTATTATTATTATTATTATTATTATTATTATTATTATTATTATTTTAAAAGCAAGAACACCAATTATAATAAAATTAAACTACAAGAACCTCATCTATTAATTTGCTCGATGATGTAGCACCACCGCCACGTCCACCACGGTTTGATCGACCCTTTCCCCCTCTTCCCCCTCTAGATGGATGGGATTGTAATTTATTAATTCCGGACTCGGGATGATTTGAACTTTTAGATGGAGGTGGTGGCATTTCATTTGTATTGGGAATACCTATAAAATATTACAAATAAGTCAATAAGCAAAAAACTTATTTCATGCACAATATGAATATCAAAATAATAATAAAATAGTTACTTACTTTGTTCCAATTGTTCGAGTTCCATGTAGAACTCAAGCTCTTCTTCCGTAGGCTCCTTGTGAAATTGAAATTCCTCCCCTCTAAGCCAATCATTTGTGCACACTAAGGCCTCGACCATCCTAGATGTCAAAGAAGCTCTAAACGGATCCACAATCCTTCCTCCAAGGCTAAAGGCATTTTCACTAGCAACGATCGAACTAGGAAAAGCAAGTACATCCTTAGCAACCTTGGAAAGAATAGAGTAGCTTGAGATTTTACTTTTCCACCACGCCAATAAGTCGAAATCATCATTCCTTGTACTTTCATATGCATCATTAAAGTACTTGTCAACTTCATTAGCTATCTCTTTGAGGTTTGCTTCCTTTCTTTGCCTATTAAGTCTTCGCTCTATCCTCAATTCCACATCATCATCATCATCATCTTCATTATCATCATCATCACCACCGCCACCACCAAGATCAACACCATCATCACCATCCTCATGCACATCCACATGTGACTTTTCCGTTCCTTTATAAGTTTCATGCATAAGATACAAGTGTGCTTTCACCCGACTCTTAAGGTGCTCAATTTCATCAAAAGTGTAGCTAAGTTCCCCTAATTGCAACTCCATCAATTGAAATTTATAACGTGGATCAAGGGTTTGGGCTACAAACATTAATATGTTCATATCTTCGAAAGAGCCCCAATATTTATCAAACTTCCTCTTCATAGAAGTAGCCACATTTTGCAACACAATATTTTTCTTATCTTTAATTCTAGCCTCAATCTCAATCTTCAAGTTTATCAAGATTTTTAGAACAAGATGCGAGGTCGGAGTTTTGGTGGCACTAAGCTTGACGGTGACATCATAGAACTTCTTGAGGAAATGTGCAAATCCCATAGCCTTTTCCCAATCTTCATCATTCGGAGGCCCCACTCTTCCCTCTTCAAAGTATGTCTTAAAAGGCTTAAATTCTTCCTCCAACCTTGCAAATACACCTTTAAACTTGTAAGCACTATGAAGCATGATGTATGTGGCATTCCACCGAGTCACAACATCCATCGGGATAGTCGACATTTTATCTTTCTTCTCTAAAGCCGCATACTCCTGAAACTTATCCAACCTCGCACTTGAAGAGTGAATATACTTGACACAATTACGGATGGCTTCAATGGAGTCTACCAACTCTTTCATCCCATCCTTCACAATCAAGTTAATTATGTGACAAGCACACCCCATATGCAAGTTTTCATCAAGCATAAGGCCATCATGTTTCTGGAGTTGCTTCTTTAAATACTCCACGGCCACATCATTCGAACTCGCATTGTCCACGGTAATGGTAAACACCTTACTTATGCCCCATTCGACCAACTTCTCTTCGAGACACCTTCCTATGTCTTCACCCTTATGAGAAGTAATTTTACAAAAATTTAGCACCCTTTTGTGTAAGTGGAAATCCGAGTCAATAAAATGGGTCGTCACCACCATGTAATTGATATTTTGGATAGAGGTCCAAGTATCGGTTGTGATACTCACCCGGAGATCACCAATGATACTTTTGATCTTTGCTTTAGCTTCGCAAAATAAACTCCACACATCCTTTGCAATCTTCCTCCGGTTAGGAATCTTATAACAAGGTTGAAGATCAAGAATAAATTCTTTGAAGTCCGGTTGCTCTACAGTTCGAAAAGGCATCTCCGCCTTGATAATCCACTTCACACACATCTTGTCGAGTCTTTTTTGGTTGAAGTCGGAAATTTTTACTTCACCTCCCATCATCGACTGAGTTAATGTGGGTTGGCTCTTGTCCATCACCACACGAAGAGGAGAACTCTCACACCTATGATACAAATGATTGAGAAGGCCTCTCGTTCCATTCCTTTTTGAATCGGCCGGCATTTGTAATTGACAATGCTTGCAAATAGCAACCATCTCCTCATTTCCTTCATCATCGTGAATAATTTTCCTTGTACAATGATCCCAAGCGATGCTCCTCTCCTTCCTCTTTTTTGGATTGTTTTTTTGTGAAGTGTTTCTAGAGATTTCTTGAGTTTGATTATCAACATTGGCATTGGTGCTTAGAGCCGGATTACTCGAACTCACACTCTGACTTTCCATTCCTAATACAACATCAAGTATATATATTAAATTAAAACTGAGAACGTCCATAATAAAGTAATAAACACATACATGAACATGACAATAGAACTACAAAAATGAATTAATAATTATGTATGAATTAATAATTCAAGTTCATGCTTACAGCTTAACATACAAAGATGTGAATTTTTATGTAAAACATGAGGTTCTAACTTCTAAAGCTGGTTCCCATATCCAGAATGCAATCAGACCCTAATAACTCAGTTCAAAGTGGTTCAATTCAACCTCAGCAGAGACCAAGCTATAAATATTTATTCATAAACAAGCTATAAATTTTAATTCATAAACAAGACCTCTAAAAAGCCACTACCCACTAATACTAAATTACTAATTACTACTAATAATAATCCATTTCAATCACACATCACAGTTGGAACCCATTTTCCAAGCCCTTGTCGCTAAAGAAAAAAAAGGTATGAATTTTCAGTGAGTTGTGAACAACTAAGGAAGGCTCATGAATGAACAATCCATGGATGGAGGAAGACTAGGATTATGCTTCTGTCTGGTCGAATCAACTCAACGGGGGTTTTGATTTTTGTGTTTTATTTGAAAATAAAATTGAAGATAATTATGGGGTTTGAAGATAATTACCTAGGGCCCGGCTGAAGTCACGAAGGTGAGTCGCTGAAGCCGTGAAGGTGTGTCGGTGAAGGAGGCGATCTAAATTCTGAAGTGAAGGTGAGGTGAACGACGGATTGAACTCCCAGGTGAAGGTGAGGCGATCTGAAGGTGAGTCGGTGAAGCCGTAAAGGTGTGAACGGCAGAACAGGTCGAGGTGAAGGAGGAGATATGAATTTCTTGAAGTAAAATAAAACGATGCTGCTGATTCTGAAGGGGGCGTATGAAATTTGAAGCCCAGCCCTAAGATTCTGTGTGTTAATATCCGTCCTTTTTTCTATTAGATTAATTATAATGTAAGTCTTAATTATTTTATTTAACTAATATATACCTATTAAAAGCAGTATTTTTTTTATATTGTTATCGGTTCAGTTCGGTAAAACCGAACCCTTATGGGTTCGGAACCGATACCGGACCGGTAACATTTCGGTAACCGAAAATCGGTTACCGATACACATGGTTCGGTTCGGTTCGGTTTATTTTCACATTGGTTCGGTTCGGTTCAGTTTGGTTTTCGGTTTTCGGTTTTCGGTCAAAAATATCAGCCCTACATATTGTAGAGAGTTGTCAAAACGGACAGGCCAACCCAGCCCGCCAAAGCCCACCTTTTGGGGGAGGGGTGGGTTGGCCCACCATCCTGGCGAGCCTGTGAAAAGCAGGTCCAACCCGCCCCGCCACATGTTGCGGGTTCGGCGACAGGCCCTTATTATTATGAAGAAGAATTTGCTCTTATGACTACTAGTTATGATTTTTATTACATTTATATGTCTCTTGTATTTTTATTTATAAAAGGGTTAATTGCCAAAAAAATCACGATATTTCGTTAAATTGCAAATTAATCTCAACTTTTTTAATTTTACAAATAAATCTCAACATTTATTAATTATTGCAATTTTGTTACAAAATTGAATTCCGGCCATCTGCCGCCACCGACCGCTGCCTGTCTCCGGCCAACCTCGTCGAAATTGAAATTTTTTACGTCATCGTGTAGCTCTCCTTCCGGGCAACAACATATCCGAAGTTCGTGCAAAAATTACGACAATAAGGGTTCCAATTTGTCGGTAAAAGCAAGTAGATCTACAAATTTTATTCATCGTTCTTTTGCAAATTTTTGGCGACTCGCTTTGACCCACATGAATCCAAAGGTACCGTTGAACTCCTCTCGCCGAACCACTTCTATTGACATTCACCATCGCCGGAAACATTGACTTTTTCTGGTGACGAGTTTTCCGGTCATCTATTGACTGAGAAATTGGACCTCTTATTGTCGTAATTTTTACATGAAGTTCGGATAGGTTGTTGCCCGGAAGGAGAGCTACACGATCACGTAAAAAAATTTCAATTCCGGCGAGGTTGGTCGGAGACGGGTGGCGGCCGATGGCGGCGGATGGCCGGAATTCAATTTTGAGACAAAATTGCAATAATTAATAAAGGTTGAGATTTATTTTCAAAATTGAAAAAGTTGAGATTAATTTGCAATTCAACGAAAGGTCATGATTTTTTTTGGCAATTAACCCTTTATAAAATTGTCTAACCAGCTAAAAATATTTCAATTTTACCTGACATTGGGATCTAACAATTATTCCTTTCTGGCATTTAAACTTTCTTTCGTTCATTCGACCTGGTCGACCATTGCGTGTAGATTCCTTGGAGTACGGTAATGGGTGGTTATCCCTCGTCTTTATTATGATCTATGATGTTTATGATAATCTAGGACTATTTATTATATGTGTATTGTTGATAAATTGTTGAAAATATGTGTTATTGTGTTCGAACGGTTTAATGAAGGAACCATTGAATCTCGGTTTTGTTTGTGGAAATCTTGTGGATATTGGAACTTTGGTGTGTCCTTGGCTTAATGGTGAAAGCCTTGGACGATTTTGTTAAGTATTGAATAAGTTATGAATTTTTAAAGTCGAGCATGCTACTGAATATTTGAAAAATCATTAAGGTGGTGATTGGATATCAATCTTACTAGTAAAAATCTAGTTTTTTTTACTGAATTTTACTGTTGGATATGTGATTGGATACCAATTCAATTTGCTTGTGTATGGCCCACACCATTACTCACACGGCCGACATCACCTGCTACCCTTGGTTTATGTGACCCACACATTACTCTCACACCAACAAACCTGCTACTATTAAATACTAGTATTATTTTATTTTTTTTCAATTCTAGTATTATTTTACTTTTTGACTACTTTTCCTGATGTTTCAAATCCGATTAGCTGATCTGTACAGCCTTACATGCTTTGATCTCAAAATTTCTTCCATAATTTCCTCCATCAATTTGGGTCCAAAAACCTCTGCATCGTATGGATCCCCCCCTCCCCCGCAAGAACATCTAGTAACAGCAGCTGAATTTGTTGGCGAAGGGAGGGAAGATCTGCGAGCTGAAGGCACAACTAAGAGCACCAGCAGCGTCTCCGTGACATCTCCGAAAAAAAAAAACGACTCCGACCAATAAAGGTACTGTGGTCCTATTTCACAGTGAAATTCAAATGCTCGATGCATGTTGCAGACTACAAATATATGTTTCTAAGTTCAACTGTAAAAATATGAGAATTTGTTTGTTTTAGATGCAGAGAAAAAAAAATTAGGTTACGGGCCATGCTCGTGTTCATCGACGAATTTTTGTGTTTCATTTCTATTGTGATCTTACTATGATTGTTTTTAAATTGTTGTTAATGACATTGCTGCAATTTTATAAGGTATTTTTAACTAGGTTAGTTTCTTATAATTAAATTGGGGCTTAAGAACATTGGCTTCCATTTAGGCACGGGCCACCACTTTTTGTGTCTTGTATGAGGTTGAATAATGTGTACAAAACTTTGGATGGACTCTAGTGTTTTGTGCATTTCTTAGCGAGATTCAGTCAAGTGATGTATTTTGTTTTTGTTGTTGTTGATGGTTGGTCACTGTAACACACCTATAATTGAAGACTGCAATACCACATTGTACTTGCTTTGTTGTTTCTTGTAAACCTAGATGTCGGGTAACTGTGGATTTGGAACTCCATCTGGTCATAATGAAGGAGACGCAAAATGGCCTCCTGAAAATGAGGTTGTCTTTGTGAATATTTTGTTGGATGAAGTGCTGTTGAGAAACCGTGTAACCAGAAAATTCACCCCCAGACAATGGTCGACCATTCTTAGGAAGTTGACCGAGCAGTGTCCAATCTTCTACCCTTATAAAATTAAGCAGCTGCTGAGCAAGTGCCAGCGATTGAAAGTATATTGGAAAAGGTTCCACACACTCCTGACGAAAGCAACTGGATTGTCATGGGATCCCGACAAGAAAGTTATTAAGGGCAGCGAGGAGGCTTGGGGACTTTGGACAACTGTAAGTTATTTTTTAAAAAGGATGGATAGAAAATGCATTTTTTTTTTCTTAAATTAGATCTGGGGAATGTACTCTGCTTCACTTAAAACAATGGCTGAAGTTCATGCTTTGGTTTTTGGCTGAGTGTTGATTTTTTTTGCCTGCCTTACAATTTAGTTAATATGACACCTTTTAATTTTTTTTTTGTTTTTCTCCCTTCTTTATTAATAGGCACACCGAAAGGATCATGACTTGGAGAACAGGCAATGCGTTCACTACGAGGCATTGACTACTATTTTCCACGGGACGATGGCTACGGGGTCGAATGCAAGGGCATCGACTCAAAGGGTGCCCGAGGAACGAAGCATGGGCGGTCAGGCAACTGAGAATTTCACCTCTGATTTATTTTCCGAGCAAGATGACGAGCCAATGGTGACCCCGATGTCTCGTGGACGCCATGGTAGGCAGAATCGGTGCGTTCATCAAAGGAGAGGCGTCGGGTCTAGTTTCGACACAGCCATGCATTCATGGTCCGACTTGAACGTATCCCTTAGAGAAAAGAACAATAAGCCAACCACCATGGAACAAGCTACGTGCACCCTTCAAGGAATGTCGGATATGGACAAGGGACTTTTCTAATTTGTCTGCAAGAAGTTACGAGATCCAACCAATCGAGCGATGTTTGCGGCGATTACTTCAGACGATAGGCGTCATCATATTATTAAGATGTGGATTGATGAGGATCCTAGTGATCAGTGAATGGGGATTGTCTACATTTTTATTGCTCTTTACATGTTGTTGGATGTTGTTCTTTTCAATTTCAGTTGCACCGTACTCTCTTGCACTTTTATCTTTGTCGAGATCCTACAAACTTCACCTTATTTTCTGTATGTGAACCCTTGTACTAGAGTTATTTTATTAAATTAAAATATTTGTAGGATGTCTTACTTAGACGATAATGACACGAACGTGGAAGAGGTGGAGGATTTGCCCGATATTGATATTGATTTAGATGATGTAGAAGAAAATGAGGCCTTTCAAATATCGTTAATGGTGGGGGCTCAGTTCCAACAACTATTCAATATTTTTTAGACTTCGGGAAGAGCATTTCCTCCCTTAAGAAGAATGCCCTACCGAGAATCCACTTATACGGGACTAGATTGGCTAAATGAATTATTGGTGGGAAATGAGCGCTGGTTCAACGATGTTATGGGTATAAATAAATCTCATTTTGTCATTCTCTGTGGCGAGATCAAACGGGCGGGATTCCACGAAGAAACTAGACAACAAAGAATAGGCATTGAAGAAAGTGTAGCTATTTTTCTACATAAAATTAAAGGTCATCAAAGGCAAAGGCGTGCGGCAGAATCATTTCGACACTCGGGGGAGACGATTAGTCGTCATTGTCATAAAGTCATTGATGCTCTTTGTTATCTAGCACCAGACTACATTCATCCCTCGGACTTCAATCGCGTCGCACCGTGGATCAGAAATAATCGCAATTTGTACCCCTACTTCAAGGTGGCTTTAAACCTTTTCACTTTGAATGTTGTAAATCGCATAAATGTAATTCTAACGGTGAATTAAACTTGTAATGCAGGACTGCATTGGGGCAATTGACGGCACTGCCCGTTATACCAGCTTGGGTCCCCGCAGGACAACAAGGAACCTACAGATGTAGGAAAGAATTTTTAGAACAAAATGTTATGTTGGCGTGCGATTTCGACTTGAAGTTTACTTTTGTGTTAGCGGGTTGGGAAGGCAGCACAAATGACGCACGAGTCTTTAATGATACATTGTCCGACCCAACATATCGTTTCCCTTTGTCGCCACCCGATAATTCAACCATGACAGTATTCCGAAGTTATTTTACTTTAACATTGAATTTTACAATTTTTATTTCGTACAACTATTAAAATCTATTCGTACAGATAAATACTATGTAGTGGACTCCGGATACGCAAACATTCCGGGATTCATAACACCTTATCGTGGTGAACAATATCATCTTCCGGAATGGTTGGGGTCTAACCAATTACCCGGCAATGCTCGTCAGTTGTTTAATAAACGACATGCCATTGTCCGTAATGTTATCGAACGCAGTTTTGGTTTGTTAAAAGGGAAGTTTCCCTTGATAAAGGGGTTGATGCCAAACTACACAGTGACCTCGCAGACCGACATAGTAATTGCATGTTGTGTTTTACACAATTTTATTCGGATGCATGAGCCGCTCGGAAACATGGCGCCAGAATTTCGCAACCCGGAATACGTACCGCGGCATGATACGAATGATCAAACATACTCATTTATATCGATCGATAACTCGAACGTCGGCGTTACTGAGCAATGTGCGTTGCGCGACTTCATAGCCCAAGCGTTGTGGGCAAATCGAAGATAGAACATGATTTCTATTAATGAAATCCATAGACCAAGACCTGTTTTAATGAAACCCGAAATAATATGACATCTTCAAATTTTTTCGGTGTTTATTTTTAAAATTAAATTTTATCTTCGTCACATTAATTGTCAACTATATTATATTGAGACTATATATAACACCAAAAAAAAAAAAAAAA